TGTGGTTGTAATAGTCTGTTGGTGATTTCTGAGATGTTTCTGATGTATGGAAGTGTGATCCTTTTCATAGCTTGTGCTGGTTGTTTTATAATAGTTTGAGTGGTCAGGCACTTTTTGATAAAGTTGCATGGATATCCATGTTGATGGAAGATGTTGAATAGGTGGTCTGTTTCCTTTTTCTGCTGTTCTAGATTGCTGCAATGCATTTGTGCTCACTTGAATAACGTTCTTACACAGCTCCTCTTGTGGTATGTTGGGTTGTTACTTTGGTAATGGAGTACTTGATTAGTGTGGGTTGTCTTCCAATAAACTTGGGTTTCTAATTTTCTGTTGTTTCCTTTGCTGATGAGGATATCCAGGAAGGGTAGTGTGCTGTTGTTTTCTTCCCCTCTTGTGAATTTTATTCCTTTGAAGAAGTTGATGGTTTCATGTGTCTTCTTTAGTTGTTCCTTTTTTATTATAACAAAGGTGTCATCTACATACTGGATCCATACTTTAGGTTGTATGTGTGGAAGTGCTGTAGCTTCTAGGTGTTGCATTACTATCTCTGCTATGAGTCCTGACAGTGGTGATCCCATGGGTGTGCCTCTGATTTGTTGGTATATTTGTCCATCAAACTGAAAATAGGTAGTGAGGCAGAGGTTGATGAGCTCCATGATTCTGGGTATTTCAATCTGGGTGTATTTGGTTAAGTCGGGTGTGTTGTGTAGTACTGCTGACATGGACTCTTTTGCTAGTTCTGGATTTATGGACATAAAGAGTGCTGTGACATCATATGAGACCATAATTTCATATTCATCTACTGTATGTGTACATCTTTTATTTTCTGGAGGCACTGTAGGTTTAAACCATATGTTTAAACAGTGAGGAGGTGATAGAATATTCACTGTTCTCTGTGAGGTGTCCAAGCTTTTTTGTCAGTTCTTTCACTATGTTGTATGTTGGAGTCCCTGGTAAAGATACAATTGGTCAGAGCGGTATGTCAGGCTTGTGTATTTTTGGTCGTCCATAGAAGTGTGGGAAGATGGGTCCATTGCTTTTCATCCGCCACTGTTCTTCCTTTGTGATCTGGCCTTTCTTGGTTAGGTTGTTAAGGGTTCTCTTGATTAGGTTGTCTAGTTT